ACTGGGTCTTCAAGAAACATTGGGAAAAATGCTTTATGCCACTAGAATCAGCTCGTCGAGCTCTATTCATTGGGGTACCTCTGGTTAGCATCTGTGATTAACACTTGGGATAGTTCCCTCGTGAGAAAAATTTGAGAAAAAAGTTTTCACAGTGTATTAGCACGCATGAGAGAACAAACTACTAAAACAAAATTTTAAAACATTTCTGATTTAAAAAGTTATCTATAGTATAACTATTTACTATACTTTTTTTATACAGAAAAAAAAAAATTCTCTTATAACATAACATCATTTGTAAAATTGATAATGGGATTGAGAACAGATACATCTTCAAGTGTACATAATTGATTTAAATTATGATTGTCTAAGATCATCGGACAAAAAAGCATTGTTTTAGAGTGCTTTTTTGAAAATTGTATAAAAAATTTTTCCATGTATACACAAATTTGTATAATATTGTCCACACTATTTGTAGTTCGAATGAATTAGTCCGTCTATAAAAGATTACTCAATGGCTCCAAATGTTTCATTGGAGATAAATATTGTTTCGAAGTATCTCTTCTTCGATTGGTATGAAGTTTAAATACTTCATATTAAAAACAAGAAAACGTTTTTATCTAATTTCATCATCGGACAATCAATTACAACTACAAGTCGGATAAATTATTTAATAAAGGTTTAATCGTTTCTTCTTTATGATGATAATGATCCATATCATTATTACCACTGTTTGATTTTGATAAAATATGTTGTTGATCAAGTTGTTGTCTTGGTTTTAATACTCCACGAAAATCGACTTGTTGAGTTTCAAGTGCTTTTTTTTTGCTCAATGTTTGTCCACTCGTCAAATCTTGTCCAGTTTTTCTTAATAATACACGAAATGGAAAACGAGGCAATGTGTCAATACGATGTGTTGATGTATCACTAGTAGTTTTACTTAGTGGTTGTGTGGGATGATTTATTTCACGTGAATAAATTGTTGTTGCAGTCTGAGATTGATATAGTGGTGTATGACGAATATTTGATTGTTGAAAATGGTTGAGATGAGAATGTGAGACGGAAAGAGGTTTTGCTAATGGCAATCGGGGATGGTGCTGTGAGACAATTTGATTTCGAAGAAAATTAACTCCGCCAGCATTGTTTGAACGTGGCGGTAAATGATGATGATGTTGTGGAGGAAATCGTTTATTTAGATTGTTTCCTTGAATATGTTGACGTTGATATTCTTGAACGGCTGCAAGAACGGCAACAGATGCATGTCCATTACGAGGCATATCACCACCATGAATGTGTACATTATTCAAATTTGGTGATGATACGGGATTCGATGGTGTCTGAACAGTTGCGACAGCTGGTTGCGATGGTAGAGGAATGTTACGTGATGGAGGAATAAAATGAGCTGGATTGGCATTTGCTGCTCGTGCAAATTTTTCGCGCGCTTGAGCAAAATTGGACATTGGTGTCGATGGTCGAGGCTGATATCCAACTACTGGATCATTTTCTAACATACGTTGATTGGTCAATGTTGGTGAGGATACACAATTATCAGTTGCACGTACTCCGGAAACTACAGGCGGACACCTTGGAGCGTGATTTAAAACATATGGCCAATTACCGGTCATTAAAACGGGTACATGTGGTTTCTCTTCATTATCTGTCTCTAATGTTTTCTTGGATATATTTATTTGTGATGGTTGTTGAAATTTGATATATGGAGGTTCTTTTGCCATAATAGAAGATGAACTATCATCAATAACTTTATCGGATACTGTACTGCAAAATAATATTGATTGAGAAAACAACGGTGATGATGGTGGTGGTGGAAAAAAATTATTGCCATATATTTTATTATATTTGTTGTTATTTGATTTTATCAATGCATTAAAATTACTTTTGACAATTTTTGAATAAAATTCATTATTGATTAGTTCAATTTGTTGTAAAAAACATGACATTTGTGTTTGTAAACGTTGTTTGTACATAAGTAATTCGCTGAATGCTTTGCGTACAACATACATACGATATGTTTTTTGAATAATAATAGCAGCTTGTATACTTTCTTTTCGATGATATTTATTTCGTTGTAAATATCCACGTAAACAAGATTGTATACGTAAAGCAGCAGCATGAAGACGATCATTGTCTACCAGCGGTTGATGCCACTGATCAATTGTTGATTTTTCATTATTAACTGGTACATAATCGCAAACATGTTGATTAATGATTGGCTCATGTTCCTAGAAGCATAAAAGAAAAAACAACTTAGCAAATTTGTAATGGTAATTTAAAAAACTTTATTGTGTTATGTTCTTAGCTTACGGATGATTGCAATAAATCATGTTGTTCATTGAATTTTTTTTGTTGACGTAATTCTTTAACAAGTGATTCGTGTTGATGTTTTTGTTTTCGTTTTTTTAAATCGATTTTTGCTTGTTTCATACGTACATACGATTGAATTGATACAATGGCTTTCATCATATCAGAATACATACGTGTTAATTGTTCAGCATGATAATATTTTAAAAATACTTTTGTTTTACCTGAAAGTGTAGATAATCATTAAGATTAGACTTCCCATCAGAAATATAAACTTCTTTGTAAAAAGTCGATATCGAGCTAACCACATCATCATTTACTCCAAGATGTTGTCTCCTATTAAAATCTATAAAAATTTGGAATTTCTCGACGTTTTCTAAGGATTTTTCGAAATATTTTCTTCAAATCTTGAAAAATAGACTTTTTTTGTAAACTGTACTTTTCCAATAAAAAAATCAAATCTAAAAGTATTTATTAACACACTAATCTTAGGATGTAGAGAAAGTATTTTTAATCAAAATAAGACGTCTCTCGGTCCCTGGCTATGTTTTAATAAAAACTTATTCGAATTTAGAAACTCTAAAATGTACATTACACTGGCGCCAACATATCTTGAAAGTACCAGTGACCTTTAGAGTATATCGTACTTGCACGAGTTTTCCATCAGATTAAATGCTGTAGAAGTTGAATCGAAGTTAACGCAGATGGACAGAAGCTCATAGCGCTCGATTTTTGATATTCGATCAACATGAGACTTCTTCGAATTTTTGACCTTTGACACTTACAATTGTTTGACAAAGCAAAATAGTACAAATCTGGCTCAATTAATCTTAAGCCATATATTCCATAACATACCTATTGCCCAATTATGTAATTTTAATTTATGTAAAATATTTTCACAACTTTCTCGACATACAGGTAATTCAAGTGTAGCTGGATAAACAAGTATAGAATAACGTTGGATAAAATTTGCAAATGTTATACGATGTGAGAAACCATAACGACGTATTTTTGCTGCTAAAAATATGATGAAAAGAAAAGTCAGTATTATGTTACTGAATGCCTAAATAAATTATACAAACCAGCTAATATTCCACTATATTTTAATTGTTGTAAAACTGTTTGAGCATCAAAATAACCTGGTACACGATCATTATTTGGCTTAAAACATCTGACAAATCTTGGTGCTCCATTAACCATTTTTGATAACAAATCCATTAATGAATATCGAAAATATGTACTGACCGTAGCTTGAACACGATTATGACTAGCACTCATTGGCATCGATGTTGTAGGTACAATTTGAACATCACCACTATGTACAGTTTCTAATTCTGGAAATGGTGTTGGTAAACCAACATTCATTTCATTACCTGTTGTTGTACTCTCAGCTAGAGTGCCTGTCTTTGTCAATGGTAATTGAAATAATGAACTAACTAATTGAACATCAGATTGTCTTAATACTTGAATAATTTCTGGTGCTAAATAATCGCGATTTTTTTCTAAAAATCCTCTAGCATCATATTGTACTTGACCAGCAAAATGTATAATAAAAAATGATGGAATTGATTGTAAAGTGGATGATGATGAGGATGTTGAATGTTGAGAACTAGCTGAAAAACTTGATTTTGAACGAATATAATAAGTTGAATGCATATTTGAATTTAATTTATCAACAAGTGTATAATCGGTTGCTTTTGGAAATCGACTCTCTTCATCTATTAACGCTAAAATGCCAACCTATAGAAAGGAAAAAAATTAATAAATTAAAATAATAATTATTTTATATTTACATACTGGTTTATTTAAAAACATATCTAATAATGGTCGATTATCATAAAATGTAAAATCCATTTTTAATGGTATTGGCATAATATTTAAATTTTCATTAATATACTCTTGTTTTTCCCATGCAAATACGTGTTGATTAAAATAATATTGAATTTGTTCATTGGCTATATTAATACATAATTGTTCAAATGAATTTGTTGAAAAATTTTCAAAACCAAATATATCTAAAATAGCTATTTTATATCCATCATTATCTTCATCATTTAATGGTTTTTTATAATGATGATCATTATTATTTTGAATAACTTTTTTAACTTTCATTTCATTTTGTTTTATAATTGGTTTTGTATCGTATATAAATGGTGTTGATAAATTATTTGAAGATAAATATTGTTTAGTATTATTTTCAACAGTTTTTTTTCTCATAGCCAAATTTGTTTCACTTGTTGTTTTTCCATTATTTTTAATTAAACCATTATTACCATTAAAATGAACATGAAAACCATTTCCATTTATAAATGTTGGTTTCATTAATGATTGTTTTTTTTCAGCAATTTGAATCCAATTTGAAGATGATGATAAACGATTACTATTTTTTGACCAATTTTCAATTAAATTTTTAACAATAGTATCTTCATGTTTTGGTATAACTATGGGCTTTGTTACTTGTGGTGGTGATGGTGTTGCCTTAGGTGAATAATTTGTTGTTGTAGTCGGTGTATTATTATTATTATTACAATTTAGATTTTGATTAGAAATAGATGAAAAATAATGAATAGTATCTACATATGGATATCGTTGTTTAGTCACACATTTGAGTTCATCAAGAGTTTGACGCATGGCATAGCGTGTTGTTAATGATGGTTCATCTATTTTTTGTTCCACAGCAAATTTTTGTAATAATGAACAATTATTATCATATTTAACGTAACATATTGATTCACCATCATCACTAACACTACTCTGCTCATCTGCGTCACCATCATTATTATTGTTGTTATTATTACAATTTTCATTATATAAACATAAATCATCATGATGTGTGGGTTTTGTTGTTTTAGCTGCTGCTGCTGCTGCTGCTGTTGATGATGATGATGATGATGGAGCTAAAAGAGCTGATATTTTATTAACAATCCATGAGAAGAGACGATTATACAATGCTTTTGCCATTGCATCTCTGGTCGATTGACTTTCTTGTAATGTTGTTGAGCGAGAAATTGTTTCTCCTCGTGTAACAATATTACATGTGGTCAATGCTAAATCAAATTCATTAACATCTAGACCAAATAATTGACTAACAATATTTAATAAATGTTTATCGGTTAAACAGGTTTTTCCATCAATAAAATGTCCTTCGTTTTGATGAAAACATAGATTACCTAAATAAAGGAAGAAAGTTGTTCGAATGGAATCAAGATCATCTCTGACATCAAGTTTATCTTAAATATATTTCAAATGTAATACACAAACCTTACGGAGAAACTATTGAAATCTTATGTGATTCCTATACTAAGAAAGTTCTGATAAGTTATCAACAAGATGATTTTTTATACAGTTTTAGCTAAAGTAAACCCTGACACTTAAATTACAACTCTTTCATAAGATTCTTACCAAAATCATATATATGTTTAGAGCAATTGAATTGAAAATATCAGAGGATCTAGTAACAATCTTCTAAGACTCTGAGAAGTTCTTATATCTTATAGTACACGTTTCTACTGATTTTCTTATACAAAATTTTCATCAGAACTCTACAAGATTCTTTGAATTATTATCCTATAGTACACTGAATCTCGCTAAAATGTTTAGAAGCATTTTGAAGATAATAAAAAATTTATCATCTTACCTAGATGTAATAATCCCGCTAATACACGATAGATTGATTGAACTTCATCATATTTAAATCCAATTATTTCAAAACATTTTTCAATTGTTAAAAATTTTGATTTAAATCCATTTGAAAAATCCGTATCATCTAATAATCCTGTACTTAAATAACGATACGTTTGATTTGTTGATAAAAAATAGGTATTTTCACAATCTGTATTCATCGTAGATGATGTTGATGACGAAGATGCCAAACCATAATACAAATAATAAAATATATGAAAATTTCTTTCTGCTCTACCTTGATTAACAACACGTGTTTTTTCTAATAAATATTCGGATAAACATGCACCGGTTACACGTCCACTTTTTGTAAATAACATTTCCAAATATTTTCCAAAACGAGATGAATTATCATTAATAATCGTTTTAGCATTACCAAATGCTTCAATTAATGGATTTATTTGTAAAATTTTTTCTTGTAACGATTTATTTGGTGCACCACCAAGAAATGTTAATTGTTTGACGATAAAATTAGCCGATTGAGTTTTTCCTAAATGGTGTATGTAGTATTCGTAGATATAAGAGATTTTTAAATAAATAATCTTCAAATTTTACCTGAACCACTTTCGCCTGATATAACGATACATTGATTTTCAAGATTGTGTAACATTGCTTGATATGTAAAATCAGCTAAGGCATAAATATGGGGTGGTTGTTCAGATTTAACACTTGTCCGATAACGTACCATCATATCTTTTCCATAGATTGGCAATGAACGAAAAGGATTAACAGCCTAATAAACAACGAGAAAGTATTCAAATAGGCTAGTGTATAAGATAACTGTCTCACACTTACAACTAGGATATCACCAATGTATGTATAAATTTGATTTGATAAAAACCGATTATACATGCAAGTAATAACACTTTGTTCGTCAAATGTTTCCAATTGTGCTAGATCATCGGTGGTGGATGTTGATAATGATGATGAAGATAACGGTGGTTGAACAAATATGGCAGGTGAATTAACAGGATAATTTGAATCGTAGGTTGAATTATAAAAATTAGTCATTTTTTGATTAATACCTTTTTTCAGTGAAGGATGACGAACAGTAGTATCTTTAACGATTAAATTATTTTCATGTAAATAAAATGTTGGATGGGATTCATGCGGTGGTTTCGATTGATGAGTAATATCAATAAAACCATTTTGTGATGGAATATAAATACCATTAGATTTACCATTGACAATTGGCTAAAATATAAAATTATTAAATAGATTTAGTGTTATAAATATTTGTTTGTAAAATGACGTACTTGCACTGGGTGTTGTAAGATCACTGCTTTGGATTGTTGCTGGTGCTGTTGATCTCTTTGTAGTTGTGATTTTCTTTTTGATTTGTAAACATATGCAGGTTTTTGTACAACTTCATTATGATCCGAATGAATTTGCCCATTGTCAGGTGGTGGAGGTGCTGGTCGTTTTATCTGTTGTTGTTGCTTTTCTAATTGATGGGGCGGTTGATAAGGTTTTCCAATAATCTGATGTTGTGGAGATTGAATAATTTTTTTTGACAATTGTTCTGGCTGAGCATGATAGATGGAAGTAGATGCTGATGGTGCTTGTTGTTGTTGCGAAGCTGTAAAGGTATCCATTTTTCCCCTTATATGACCATTTTTAACACCACATGTTTCTCGACTCGATTTTTTTACATGTAAATCATAACATCGCTTATATTTTTGTATCAAATAGACAATGTGACGACGCAATTCAGTGCCATCAGATGGTATTTTTGTGAAGAACGTATGGTTAAGTAATTGCACTACAGTTGGTCGTGTTTCAAAATCTTTAATCAAGCATTGTCGAATAAAATCATTGTATTCGATAGACCATTCATTTGGATAACGGAGAGTTGGTGGAGGACTACGAGGTATTGTAAATAGAGCACGCATGGGATGCAATTCTGCAAGTGGTGGCTCACCTATATCAGAGAAAAGGATTTCGTACAATCACGATTAAATGTTTGAAGAATATGTTAAAAGAGTATAAAACTAGAATGGGTGTTCCATACAAAGTCGATCTCTGCGTGTTTTACTGATCTTGTCTTTACCTTCATGTAACTCTTTTTTTGTAGAAGATTTTTTGTTCAGTTCTCTACAAAATTATGCTCAAAATTTTGTTGTACATCATCTAGGAAGAAGATTAGCGAGCAGATATTAAGAAGCTTCGAACTCGATTACTTTTCAATTCAGACAAACGTTGATTCAGTTTTACGCCGAAATCGAATTGACATTTTATAACTCAAAAGCGATCCGTTTACGTATCAGATGAAAGTGGAATAGATAGAATATGCTAGAATATACATTAAGATTTCATTTGAGTAATGGTAACGTATTTAAAAATCTTCAGTCATTTGCTTTAATTGAAAATTAATCCAGTTCGAAACTTCTCAGTATCTGCTCTCTAATCTTCTTCCTAGATGATGTACAACAAAATTTTGAGCATGATTTTGTAGAGAGTGGAATAAGAAATTTTTTACAAACAAAGAGTCACCAAAGGCAAATGACGATAAAATACGCAGAGCGTTAATCTTTATGAGCCACCCATTATTCTTACCTTCAGCAATCTCTATAGCTGTAATGCCGATGCTCCACACATCGGCTCTCATGTCATAATCATATTCCATTTGTCTTTCGCAAGCAATAACTTCCGGTGCCATGAAAAACGGTGTGCCAACGCTTGTATTTCGTCTTCCATTGCTTGTATTCACGTAAGCCGATACTCCAAAATCAATTAATTTGATATGCCCATCATGTGTGATAAGTATATTATGTCCTTTAACATCTCGATGTATAACTTGGTGAGTGTGTAAATGATGTAAGGCTTTGAGTGTTTCCCGTAAAATATAAGCAATAATACATTCATCAAGACGTTGATTCGCTTTTAATAATGACTTAGCTAGATCGGTAACACTGCCACCTGTACATAATTCCATAACTAGCCATAATTGGTCAAGTTGAATTGGATTAGTAACACCACTATTGATGCCATACAGATCCTGATCAGTTTGAGTTTTAGATGGCGATATGTCATTGAACGAAACATTTTGATCTAATACCGGTTGTATGGGTGACAAACATTTGTAATAAGCACCATAAAATCGACAAATATTTGAATGTGTAGATAACTCTAATAAAACACGATATTCTTGTTCAATTTCTTCCATAACTTCATTAGTTGGATTCATTATTTTCACAGCAGCATATTGGCCAGTTCTTATATTCTTAGCCTGAAATAAGAACAAATTATGAAGCTATAGTTGGATACCGTTGTTCTATAGTGTAATACAGATCAACTTTTTTTTAATTTAACTATAAAAAACTTAGCTGAAAGTATGTATTTTAATATTAATTAAAAAACATACTCTAAAAACTTCTCCATATGTTCCATCACTAATGTACTCTAATAACTGCCATTCACGAGTTGGTGATGGCAGCTCATCGAGTTTCAAAAGACCACGTGTTGTTATTATCGATTGATGTTGATGAGATTGCGTTGTTTGTTCTTGACGCGATGGAGGTCTTGAACGAGGTGGTATTGGTGGTATTTGATCCTGAATTGGTGGTAATGGTGGAGGTATGGGCGGTGGAGGAACCATTAAAGTATAATGTTTTTTTTGAAATGTATGATTGCCACATAAGGTGTTGTTCGTTGGTACGGCATGCGGCATTATTGCTCATTTAGTATCCATTTATTTATGAAACTTAGAAAAATTACAGATATTAGCAAGTTGTTTTGTAATAAAAGTGTGACGAAGAGGAAATGATCAGTGTACAAAAGAAATAGTCGGAAATTGTTCAAAAGAATGAAAAAAAAAAATAGAACACGGTCAAACTCAATGTCAAAAAAGATGCTTAAAAATTGTATCGAACAAAATAGGACACATACATCTTCTCTCTTTTTTTTTCTTAACGTTTACTTAAGTCAAGCTCTTCCCAGGGAGTTTTGTCAACAAAGACACACCTAATGGTCAAACTAATTAATTGTAATAGAACGCGTAGACAGATTAAACATGACAGTAGAACCTTGACAGTAGAAAGAAGATGATGAAGTATAGAAAATTCGGACCAACAATACAAATGATAAGTTGTGTTAAATATCATTCGTAGACAACGAAGATATAAAGTCATGATTATTTTAATCATCGCTTCATGTGGCTTATAGAGATATTAGTGTGAATTCCATGTAGATAGAATCCATGTTTAAACAGAAGATAAGTAATTATATACGGCAACAGAGACAGATTATATTGAACATGAGATTAGTCAATGAACAACTAAATGATAAGTCAATTAAATTTATTGATAAAATTGACAATCATTAAATACTTACTATATTTATGGTTTCTATATTAGAAATAACCTCTGTTAGACAATCATTTTACCGTATTAATTGAAAAAACAACGTGAATAAAGCTAAATCAGTTTGATTTAAGCTTTATTTTTTCTTCTATTATACGATGAAAGATAAATCCATAATAGTATTCTAAAAGTTAAACTATCGAAGAACACATTTCGTACAAATATGGACTCGAACACATGAACATAGATTTGCACTAAAATATAAAAGTAAATTCACTATTTGCTAGTCAACATGCTGTAAAACTCAGTTTCTATCAACACAATGTTTAACAGACGTTGTTGATTTAATCAATCAGTTTACGTCACAAATAAAAAAGAAATTTAGAAGACAGTGCTAAAACGATATTTAGATTTATGGTAGTGGTTAAGATGGCACTCATGATACGTTTATTAAAACAAACAACGGCTCACTATTTTTTCCTGAGCTCGGGTCACGGATTTAACGCGATTATCTACAACAAAATCTAGAAGAGATCTGTTCTTATCTCTCTCATCACTGATACTTTTATGTGATATCAAGTAGAAAAGAAACTTACATAAATTACAATCATATAGGCGTGTCTGCATTTAAGTCAAAGTTAAAACATGACATATAACATCACTATTTACATAAACAGGTTCCCAACCAGTTGTTCGAAGGGTACTTCGAGTGCTCGGAAATATGCTTTCGATGGGCCTTCGCCGAGGGCTCGAGGAAAATAAAACTTCAGACCCTCGATATAAGCTTTCGAGGGGTATTTCGGAGCCCTCGTCGGATTCTGGGGACTTCCGAGGCCTCCTCGAGAGAGCGATCGCTCGGACGTCCCGAACATCGCGCCTTTGAGCGACGAGGGCTCGGAAGTCCCGAACATCTATATTCGACGGCTCGAAATTTTTCTCGAGGGCTCGCTACTTAACTAAAATTCGAGGGGTCGAAATCTATACTTATATCGAGGGTCCGAAGTGCCATTTTCCGAGGGGTCGAGCCCTCGGTGAGGGCCTGTTTTCGAGTACTCGCCGCACCCCTCGAACGACTTTTTCATCTGCATGGGTTTCGATGAAAAGAGTCTACTGTTAAAGGCGATTGCTTCTAGAAGAGTCTAGCATCCTGAAGTCTGTCAATAGACAAGGGACAGCCTCCTTCGATGGATTTCTGAGCACGGTATATCATGAAGGGAGTGGGTTTTTCAAATGCTTAACCCAAATAATTAACTGACAGACGACCTAATCTTATCAACATAAAACTTGTTTTTTTAACTTGAGTTTTTCTTTGTTCGCCTTTTTGGATAGATATCTCCTACCAAATTATAAAATTTTTTACTAAAAGCTTCGAAAATGCATTATGAGACTGTGTTGCCACTTAAAAGTCAATTTTAAAACTTTTATAATTCGATCTAGAGCTGAAATCTTGAATATAAGTAGTCGAAGCATAGTAGTGGTAACAAAGATATTACAGTAAGAGTTAGATATATGAACTTATAGTGCATGTGAAAGTTTTCAAGCAATTTTTCTCACAATGTGAGTTAGTATTATTTCTAATCTGGATTAGAAAGGGCCTTTTTGGTCTTTGAAATTGTTCTTATTTTCTTTCAAGCTTTGTCATCCTCTTCGTTGTGGGACGACGCTTCAACCAAAGCATGATCTACTCGGATACTATTGAATGAGCTACTATCAATTTGTAGTTCCTTATTTCCTAGTGGGTAATGATGATTTTTTTGTAGTGGATGATTGAATAACAACCTAACATATGTTTAAATATCCATAAGCAAGTGAAATGTTTCAAGTTAGATATTTGCATGCGCTGAAAACTAGTCCACATCTTGACACCTAATTATTATTAGTTTTCACCCGAAGACAAAAGAAAACACCCTCTTATAAAATTATCTTCAGCTAATATGGTCCTTAAAAAGCCTGCTTAAGAAAAGATCATTCTTACAAAAATCTGATTAACAAACTCAATTACTGCAAAATTTTCCTTAGATAAATCTTATTAAAACAAGTTATTTGATATCAGCATCTCAAAAAATATACTAAAGAAGGATAAGAGAGTAAGAAGCCATCTAACTATTAATATAGGTGGTCCTATGTAGACGACATATTTTTCTTCATGCAATCTCGTCTACATTTTTGGAAGAACCATAAAAGAATTAGCGTGTACTATATGCTTGATTCATATTTTATTCAAATAATTCATATTTAATTATCAACGTAAAAAGACAGTAGAGGCCACTATAACAAAAAACCTTGTTTTATTATATGAAAGTAACAATTAAATAGTGGAGAAGAAGTAAAAGTTTTCCCTTATTATGTAGTTATTTGTTCATTTTTACTTTTATAAAATGAAAAAATGTTGTTTATTACATCGTTCTTTACTTACTATTTGAATTTAAACTATTATTTCCTATATAAATAATGCTTCCTGATATCATCAAAGAAGTTTTTGCAAATCATCCATATGGCTAACTTACTTATCTTATCTAACTAGCCTCGTATTATCATAAATTATCTTGTCATAATCTAGTTTACTCCAAATACCTGATTTAAAAATTATTAAGCGAATCTTAACGGATATTTCTTGAAAATTTCTAAAAATGTGCATCCACACGTCTCTTACATGCAAGAATTAGATCTCTTACGTGCTCTTCCCATGATAAATTGGAACTTAACCTAACTCCGAGTAGAACTACCGAGCTTTTTTTGCTCAATAACTGTTTCATTGATAGCGGAAATGAGGTGATCAGTCAGAAACAGATGATTTGTGAAGTATATCCATGCACACTTAGAGTAATTCGGCAACATAAAATTAAGATGGCACCATTCCTTTGTTTTAATTATAAAAGATTGACAATATGCTGTTGTACACAGAACACTCATCGGGCCGAATAACCAGCAGTCGTCGGCAAAAAGAAGGAGTAACGCCAGTAACGATGTAGCCTTCAGAAGATCATTTATAGATCAGAAACAGTAGGGGACCTAAAATGGAGTCTTGTGAGACTCACGATCACGGTCTCTGAAAACTATCCGCCTGTCCGAACTCTTTGCCGATGCTCTGACAAGTAACTCTCGAACCATTTGTATGGTGCACCCTACGCTCAACGAAGAGCGCTTATACTCTTGTTTTGTACTGTACTCTCTGGTGGTGTTTAACCGACGTCCTGAGACAGGCAAAAATATTTATTGTAAATATCGTCATCTAAAAATACAAAAAACTTTCATCAACAGCACTGCTATCACAGCTGTTGTCACTGGTCCATGCTCAACAACAAGAACATTTAATAAGTTTTTTTCGGGATATTGAAAACTGTTCAGTTCGATCACCATTTGACATTGTAGAAAGAATTCAAAATTCGCTGATAATTTAAGGTATAAGAGAAATTGTTTTCAGTTGTTATTGTGATTGTAATACAATATTGAAGGAAACAGCTTAGTGTGTCGTGTCAGAATTGTTCGTGTGCCGCACAGAAAACTAGATGCAGTTGATCGATATATATTATTAGATCTTGATCGATTCGAACGTGTTTATAAGCCTTCAGCCACTTTCGTGTTGATTTCTGGTAATATTGATTTTGTTGGTAAATTGAGTGATTTACGTCATCAGGCTGGATATAATGTTATCGTTGTTCATAATTTACCTGCTAAAGCCGAATTAAAAACAACGGTTAATTTACATTACGGATGGTCAACGTTTACAAAGCCGCATATACATCAAACATTGCAAAACAGGCAACCAACTGCACCGATTGAATATGATTTGTCACAACTTCCAAGATCGCAGATAAATCAAGAATATTTGAATAACCCGTTTGCTTATCCATTCCCGGCAAATATAGTTGTACCACCTGTTCGTTCTAATTCGGGACAAGGTGCTCGTATGATCTAATAATCAAAACAAATTCATGAATGTCCAATATGTTTAAATGAATTCAATAATAACGAACCACTGCGTCAATATCAACAAGCGAAACAACATTTTTTCGATTGTCTCAGTTGTCCAGATCCATTTTATACTTTTTTCAGCCTATTGCAGCGTCAGAAAGCCAAAGATCATTATGAAAAACTCCTTAGGGTTTATACATGTGGATATCGATTTTGCAGCGCAGTATTCAAGAGTAAATGCGCATTGAAACAACAGCAGAAAGCAAAATACGGCATTTAACTAAATAAAATGTTTTTTATAAGAATTAAACGATCCACTAAGAAGCAACAGTCTGAGGATGTCTCAATGTAAATATTTTCCTGTCGTAAACGATACCCACTTATTTAATCTGTTTTCTTTCGTTTTCTATCGTATTAAGGATGACTTATCGGATCCTGAATTTCATGCACAGAATAGTGTTTACTTAACGTAGGAGAATGAGATCCTCGCATCGTCCATGAAACTGGTTGACGGGACAGAACATGACAAAAAATCTCATATGGTGTTACTTGGCAGAACGTCAGAAAACCTCACCTCTTTTACTTAAATGTGAAATATGAAGAAATGGCTCCAGTGAAGATACTTTCATTTGAAAGAAGCTTGGACTCCCTCCAACTTGGTTCTTCGAGTTGCAAGAATGACTGTATTAAACGTTCGTTTTTTGACAGCGGAAGCAGGTGATGCCAGTTTCTTGTTAACATAAAAAATGAGAAGTAGCAACTAAGTAGAGCCAAAAGAAAATGGGATTGAAAATGGGGAACGGCTGATAATTCAAGAAAAAAGGTGCTTGTTCAAGCGCTCACTGAAGAATGTCGTCAAATGATCAACCTTTTTGTTTTTGAAACATATTTTATTACCGGTAATTTTTTATACTGATCACGAATGTGATATTCTTTTGCCTGTATAAGCCTAAAGAAATCGCTAGAGAATCAACAGGAGTATTCAACAGAACGCATACTGCCACGTTCCAAATCCACATCTATTATGGTACAGACGTAGCAGAAGTTTCGAGAAAACCGTGAACTTCGGGTCTGGAAACCTTAGAAATAAATGGAAACATAGGTTACTAGCTATGCTGACTCTCATGACAATGTTACTTTATGCAATAGAATCCAAAAGCCTGTTGGAAACCTATAAAAGATGAAATAACTTATTTTGAGCTGTTTTCATCAAAAATTCGAAAATTCATAATTCAATCAAACTTAAAACCTCAGTTTTTCCATAGGTACATGTCCTAAAGTGTCCTCTATCGAGCAACGAAAACCACACGCCGCTATCTCTTTTCAGTTAAGTATTTGTCCAAAAACATTCTGGTGAAATGGATAGTAATTTTGTTTAAAAACAACTCAAAATGGCACCGGCGAAAAGCTTTTTCTACGGTTCTAAAATTCGTTCTAAAAGTCTTACCGGAACGAAACGGAATGGCTTGGCCGTTCGCCGTTACCGATTACGTCTGTGTGCCAGACAGTAGAGCGCGTCGAATTATCAAAAAGACATAGTGTAGTTTTTAGCAATTTTGTCAGCGCCCAAACCAACATCAGCTGCTGATCTTACATCCTTGAGTTGAAATCGCATGTTGATTCTTTAGTAGTTTCTTTAGATTAATTCCAGAAGAGTCTGTGCAGATAAATGAATACCAGATTCATGATCAGTATAAGAAATTTCCTATAATAAAGTATGTTCCAAGGAAAACATTCCCTTGTCAATTTTGACAAATTATTCCACTCTTATATACCAAAAAACGATGGACCTTGTAGTACACTAACTTACGATACGTACTTGTTTGAAATTAAGGATCAATACTAGTTGATCTCGATCCTACAGCACTATCAAAAAAAAGGGCAATAATTGTGACGACTTTGTACTAATCGGTCTTTTTCTAATCGGTTTGCTTGTACTAATCGGTCTATAATTGAGGCAATGATATGTACTCCATCACTGAAGACATAAGTTAAAGTATAAAACTCTTTTGTTGAATGATACTGTTTCTTTTTTGATAAAACAATAATTAAAAACGGCTAGCACTGCGTTTTTTCTTTTTTTGTTATTGTTATCGAGAACTACTATCTATCCCAAAATACAAGACCCGTGAGCATTTTTTTGAATAACTTTTGATAGGAATGAGATAGAGATCTACGATTTTCGCTGTTCAATAGCCAAGACTTGAGCAGAACTTTTCACAAGTGGAAGCAACTTTTGAAAAAATTCCAGAGATCGGGTTTTCAGAGGATCTTTGGAAAACTAGCTCCGTTCTCAGAAAACTAACATACAATGTTAGTAATTTTTTTGCATGCATAGATAGTTCGGACGTTACTCTACAAAATTATGCAAGTCCCGGCTCTCTAGCTATCGTCGTTCGGGCAGGGCTCGCTTTCCCCGAGCACGTGTCTATCTCCGAGCAGACATCTCTGGGAATCTCAAA